ACTGAGCCACACCCCAGCCCCTCACTGGGGGATTCTAGGCAGGGGCTCTACCACTAAGACACACATACACACTGGGGAATTCTAGGCAGGGGCTCTACAGCCGAGTTGTAGTACCGGTTAATGCACCAAAACTCTAGCTTTTTTGTTGTTGTTCTTTTCTTTTCTTCTTTTCTTCTTTTTTCTTTTTTCTTTTTTTTTTTTTTTTTCTTTTGGATAGGGTCTCTCTGTGTAGCCCTGGTTGTCTTGGAACTCACTCTGTAGACCAGGCTGGCTTCAGACTCAGAGGTCCTCCTGCCTCCTGAGCCCTGAGATTAAAGGTGTGAGCCACTATTGCCTGGCTTTTCCTTTTTTTTTAACCTCAGATTTTTGAGACAAGATCTGGCTATGTACTTCTTGCTAGCCTCAGTCTCAATCCTCTTGGCTCTGGCACCCCAGTGCTAGGAAAAAAAAAAAAGTGTGTGTGTGTGTGTGTGTGTGTGTGTGTGTATGACCAAACTTGGTTTGGTAGCCTTTTCCCCAAACCTTGCTCTGCCTTTGAGTCATGTCTTCCTGTTGGAGTCCTCCACCTGCCTTGAGGCCCTGTTGTACACCTTTTTCTGCTTGGAGCTCTTCTGATAATTAAGACATCACATGTGTGGAGGCTGTTATCTGTAATTACAGCTCTGGGTAGGCTGAAGTAGAGCATCTGGAGTTCTAGGCCAGTCGGGCTCCTCTGTCTCAGACAGACAGACAGACAGACAGACAGACAGACAGCATGTATCTCTTAAAAGAGAGAGCAAGTATTGACAGTGGTGTTCGTGGCGGGCAGCTGTGCCTGCCTGCTCCAGCTGGCCGCTGGTCACATGAGGGAACACATGACTAAAAGTTACTTCCTGCCCCTCTCCCACTGGTTTGTCTATTCTCTGGGGATTTTTCTCTGTCGTTATTTATGTTAAATTCTTTATTGCATTTATTTGCTCGCTGTGTTTGTGTTCACACGCCGAGGTCAGAGGGAAATCTGCAGGAGTGGGTCTCAGGATTGAACTTGAACCCTGAGGCTTGGCCCTAGGGGTTCCCACCTCCTGAGCCGCCTCGCTGGACCTCCTTTCTCTTATTAAACGTTTTATTAGTGTGTGGGAATGGTGCGGAGTGCAGCGGAGGAGGCCTGCGCCACCCCTTCCTGCCCTGTTCCCTTGGAAGAGGGTCTTTTGCTGCGCTTGGCATATGCTGCTCTGCCAGTTCACACCCAGACCCTCCGCTCCTAAGCCTGGCCTTCGGGAAGACCAGCTGGCTGACACGGAGGCCAGCTGTTTCTCTTCTCTGCGTCCCAGGTCCAGGAGCACTGGTTTAACCCGGACTGCAAAGAGATCTGCACGTGCGAGGGCAACGACAGCTTCCGCTGCCAGCCCTGGAAGTGCAAGGCTCAGGAAGCCTGCGGCTACCGGGACGGCGTCCTAGGCTGCCACGCCCTAGGTGAGTCCCCGCGGGAGCCGAGCAGGCTCTGCTGGCTTTGCGCGGGGCCGTCGGGATGTTTCTCGGTTGAGAAGACCCACACTGAACGTGGGCCGCACCGCTCTGCGGGCTGGGCTCCCGGCCGCACGGAGAGAAGTCAGGCTGGGCCCCAGCACCCTCTCCCTGCTTCCTGACGGAGCTCGCTCGCGAGGGCGCCGTCCCACCGCGGTGGCCTTCCTGCACGCTGTGTGCCGGGGTGGACCTGCCTTCCCTCCACGGCACTGAGACTCGAGCAAGTCCTTGAGAACACCCACATACGAAGCTGTGGCCGAGCCCAGTGCACTCCAGCCAGGTGGAGGCAGGAGGGGCAAACGTCGGAGGCCTCCCGGGGCTGTCTCACTGTTTAATTTGCGTTCTCAGTGTGTGTGTGTGAGCGCAGATACCTGCAGAAGCCAGAAAAGGGGTCACACTCCCCGGAACTGCAGGGCCTACGCGCCCCTAGCACACCCGGACCGGCACTGTGGCTGCTGGGAACTGAACTGTGAGCCCCTTTGACCCACGCTCTGCGACTGCGCCAGCCCAGAGGCGGTTTAAAAACGCCGTTACTTAGTGACGGCTGGCTGACGATCGATCTACGAGGAGTGCAAGGCGACAGCGGTGGTTCCGGGGCGGCAGCGCCTCTGCGAAGCCAGGAGCTTGACAGAACATTCTGGAAGGAAGAACGGCAGCACCGGGGACGCAGAGCGACCGCTGTGCCCTGAGGAGCGACGGCGACAGGACCTCCGGGATGAGAGCCCTCCCGAGCAAACGCTCCAGCCGGAAAGAGCAGCGAGAGGGGGCGGGAGGGGGAAGAAGTTGGAGCCGGGCGCTCAGCCCCCAGCCGCGAGCGCGGGCTCGCCACCGCCGTCGAGGGCTGCCGGCCTCCCGCAGCTCAGGTTTGCGGAGAGGAGGCCGAGCCCAGCGCCCCGCTTAAACCACACCAGCTCACTGCACCCAGCTCCTGCATACTTCTTCGCCGTACTTACTCGTTGGAGCTGATGTGATTCCAGAAATAAGCCGTTTTTCGGGGTGTGGTGGCGCACGCCTGTAATCCCAGCACTCGGCAGACAGATCTCTGTGAGTTCAAGGCCAGCCTGTTCTACAGAGGTCCAGGACAGACAGGGCTAAACAGCGAAACCACAAAGCAACCAGGCGGTGGTGGCGCAGGCCTTTAACGGCAGCCCTGGGGAGCCGGGGCAGGTGGCCCTCCGAGAACCCCTAAAGGGAGTTCCAGGACAGCCTGGGCTGTTACGCAGAGAAGCCCTGTCTCAAAAGACAAAACAAAAAAAAAATCCAAAACAGCAAAAGCCTGAAACCAGAACAAACAGGAAGTAAGCCATTTGATCTTTCTAAGGGACTTTTGTTGGAGGAGTTTGTTGATATATTGTCTTCAGTAATAAGAGTAATGCAGCAATTTGCAGCCTTTTTTTTTTTTTTTGGTGTGTGTGTGATTGATCATTCTATGGAGAGTTCATATTTAAGGTCAAGTTGACATTTTCTTTGGTCCAAGTGCAACTGTCCAGAGAGTTTCTTGGTTTGTGTTGTTGCTGTGTTTATCAGCAGGCTGGAATTTCACAGAGCTCAAACAATACACGAAATTTATTTCCATGTGAAATCCATCCAGAAGTAGAAGAAACAGCTGCTTAGAGTAAGATTTAGCTGGAAATGTCTAATTTGGCATAGTTGTGCACGTTGCCTGAGCTCTCACGAAACAGAAGTGCTCTGGTTTGTGAGGAACGCCACCACCAAAAGCAAGCTGGGGAGGATAGGAGTATTCAGTTTACAGACCACAATCCTTCAGGAACAGAAACAGACGTGAGAAGGAACCCTGCTTCACCGGCTTCCAAAGTCACATTCAGCCCCTTCTGGTCCAGCCTCAGACCACCCGCCAGAGATAGCGCCGCCCACGGTGGGCAAAGCCTCCTTTCATAACTAAGAACCCAGAAAATGCCCAGCAAGGGTGTCCACGGGCCATTCTCACGGAGGCAGTGTTGCAGCTGAGGTCCTCTCTTTAGATGTGTTAGCTCGTCATCCGGGGCTAATGGTAGCAGTAAGAGCTGAGGGCTGAAAACCGTGCTCAGTTCTGTTTCCCCAAGTCTTTACCAGTTTGAAAATGTTACCACAGTTGTTCATTTGGGCTTAGACTGAAGTTACTCAGGTTCCCATAAACATAGGTGTCCCCCCGCCCCCATCACCAGGGCCAGCAAGAGTTCAGAGGGTGATGAGGGAGAGAGGACTAGTGAAGGCAGAGTGATGGGGGAGAGAGCGGAGTAGGCAGAGTGATGGGGGAGGAGAGAGGACAGGTGAAGGCAGAGTGATGGGGGAGGAGAGAGGACAGGTGAAGGCAGAGTGATGGGGGAGGAGAGAGGACAGGTG